GAGCACGCCTCTACCCGCATCCCCATCGATGACCTCACCATGGTGGTGTATGACCCAGACAAGGCAGGCACCCAGATGAGGGGTGGTGTGGGCAGGTGGGATGGTGGGAGATGGCTGAGGGGAGGGAGGTGCAGAGTCACCCATAGATCGAGGTACCACGGTGTGTGGTGGGGGGAGTGGTGAGTGACATGCTGCCGATCATGAGTGTGCTGAAAATTAGAGTTGTTGGGTGATATTTGGAAATCGTGAGGATGTTGTGCTGGTGGGCAGTCTTGTGCTCAGGACGGTGCTAGGCGGTGGTGAACAGAAAAACAGTTGAGTGGAGGTTGGTACTGGATGCTGGGTAATGTTGAGGGAATCTACTCGTAGTTCTCGGTGGTGTTGAGAGAGTGGTGATGGTGTTGGTGAAACTGAGGGGTGTTAGGGTAGTACTGGATATTGGGGATGTGAGCAGTGCTGAGCACAAAATGGTCTGGAGGACTGGTAAGTTGGAGGGTATTCTTAAGTGGAGGGCGATATTGAGCAGTGGGTGACGTGGGTGGTACTGAATGATGAATAGCTATGGATGGTGTTTGAGTTGGTACGAAATGTGGAGTGGAGGGTGGTGGTAGGTGAGTGGGTGTGTTGAGTTGGTGGTTGGTGTTGAGTGGAGTGGAGGGGTGTCAGTAATGAGGTGATGCTGGATATTGGTGTTAATATGGGTGATGGAGGGTGATGAGATGTGACTGGTAAGGAAGGCTCATTGCAATGCTTTATGAGAGGGAGGTGTGTGTGTCCGGGCTCCATCTCTGCAACCCAGGCTTGGGGCCCACAGAGCCTAGGGAAGTCTCCTGATGAGCCCACTTTTGTAGGGACTAGTGACCAGCCCAGCCTCCCTCATGCCTCAGTCTTCTGAGAGCTCCCCTCTCATGGGACCCCAGTAGGCAGGGTTACCTAAGACAGGCGCCCATGGCCAGGGATTGGGGGAAGGCGTGGTGGGTATGTTGAGGGAGGTGGGGTCCCTACTATACAGTCCACTCTACAGGGCAGCAACGGCACCTTCCTGCTGTACCTGGAGGGCCCAGATGCCGAAGCCTTCAGCGTCTCCCCTGAGCGAGCGGCAGGCTCAGCCGAGGTACAGGTGCTGGTGAAGGTCCCGTCGCTGGTGGACTATGAGAACAAGACTGTGATGTTGGTACAGGTGAGGGGCACTCTGGGGCACCAGGGATCCCAGGCCACAGGGCGCTCTGGTCCCAATGCTGCTGTCTCCTTCCCTGTTCTCAGGTCATGGCTATTGACTCAGTCAGCAGAAACTTCTCTGTTGCCTCGGTGACCATCCACCTTAGAGACATTAATGACCACAGACCCACATTCCCTTATAACCTGTACAACTTCAGTGTCTTTGAGCACAGCGAAAGTGGCACTGTGGTCACCAACAGCACCCATGTGAGTGATGAGGACCAGGGCCGGGCCGGGCTGGAGGTGCACGGAGAAGGGCAGACCGGGGACTCTGGCCCTGCGCGAGTCTCCGTATCATCTAATGGCTTCGGGTCCCAGCAAGTGTGCATGCATGTGTGAGTGTGTGTGGGGTGCCTATGTGTGAATCTGTGTCAGGGGGTTCTCCTTTTGTGTCAGGAAGCAGGGCCACTATGTAGTTGACATCGAGTGCCATCACTTCCAAAGAGCGTGCCATTATCTGTCTCTCTGCCTCACAGGCTTTTGACCCAGACACAGGTGAGGGGGGCCGCATCACCTACAGCCTGCTTCCGGGGAACGGGTAAGTGCTCAGTGTGGGCAGGGGGCAGGCAGGCGGGTGGGCAGCAGGCGGGCGGTGGGGCTAGGCTAGCCAGATAAAATACAGGGCATCCAGTTACATTGCAATTTCAGATAAACGATGAATAGTTTTTTTTTTCTGTATAAGTAGGTTGCAAACAGTCCATGGTCCACTAAATTTCGTTGTTTAGTTGAAATTCACATTTAAGTGGCATCCTGTCTTTTCGCTTGCTCAATCTGCACAGGGCAGACATCTTTGAGGTGGACCCAGACTCAGGAACCGTGACTGTGGGAAACAGCGAGCTTCTGGACCGGGAGAAGCAGGCCGTGTACTACCTCACACTGCAGGCCACAGACGGCGGGGGCCTGTCGTCCTCCACCGTGCTGCATGTCTACCTGCTGGACATCAACGACAACGTGCCGGTGGTCAGCGGCTCCTACAACATCTTTGTCCAGGAGGAGAAGGACAACGTCTCCGTGACCATTCAGGTGCGAGCCAGCCTAGACCTGGTGGGTAGGATGGGGCAGGGCACCAAACCTGGCTCTGTGGTCGTGCTGGCCCTGGGCTGGAATCGGGGCTCTGCTGTGTGGCCCTGAGAAAGTTATTCAGTCCCTCTGGGCCCCTGTTTCCACTTTGGAAAAAGAGGGAAATCATACCATTTATTCCCAAGGTTGCTGGGGAGTAATGAGATACTGGATGTAAAGTGCTCAGCACAAAGCCTAGCATAGAGTGAGCCCTCAAAAACATATTGCTCTTTTAAATTCAGGCCTCTGCCTCATTCCAAAAAGGATTTGAGGTGGCTTCGAGTAAAAAGTAAGGCAAGAATATAAAAGAAATAAAGAAAGAGGGAAAATCAGGATGGCATTTGTAAAGGACACAAAGGTAGATCTAGAACCCAGAGTCACACAATTGCTAGGAGCAGGCTGAAAATTCAGTTTTGAGCTTCCTAACGGCCAAAGCAAAAAAAAAAAAAAAAAAAAGAGATCAACAGTTAGGTTCACGGAGTCTATGAGATAAAAACCCACTACTGGTTCCAGAGAAACATTGGAGAGAAACTTCTCCCCTGAGTCATCGAGAGGGGGTCTTGTAAGAAGCGGGAAATCAGGTCATTAGAATAACATATGGGGGACCACGGAGCCCTCCCATCTTTCTGGAGCTGTGTGGTTTTCAGAGCACATTCCCATCCCTGATCCGACCAACTTGTGAAGCAGATGATCTGCTTTAATGGTCCCCACTTCACAGGAGAAAACTGAGGCTCAAAGATGTTAAGTGACTTTTCTGTGATTGCAGCACCGGGCTGGAGGTCAGACTTCCCTGCCCTGAGACCTGGGTCTTTTCCTTGCTCCTCGATGCTTCTCAGCCTGGTCTGTGAGCTCCTTGGGCAGGAGCATGTCAGATCTGCTGCTGTAACTGCAGTGTCCAGCATGAGCCCCGAGAAGCACTTGGTGAAGTAGCTGGCCTGAGTTTAGGATGCTGAGGGATGAACAGATAGGGTCAGGCTTCTGGAAAAACCATCTCTGGCTGCCTACACAGGAGACATTTAATAAACAAGATTCCAACAGAACGGAAATGAAAGAGCTGAAGGTGAGGGTGTGGGCAGGAAGGAAGGGGAAAGAACTGGTTCAAGTCAGAGTAGCTCAGCTCTGGATTCAAAGCCACATTGCTGAGCACCTAGTATACCCCCGGCCCTTTGCTGGGCCCCAGGTTTTCTGAGATGAATCCACCATAATCCTGCCCCCAGGTGACTCTGTTAGGGGAGAACACCAGACAGTCACTCAAGGGTGTCACTTGTGCTGTGATGAAGGTAGCACAGGGGTCATAGAGGCCTGGGGGAGGCACCAACCTGGCCTGGAGTCAGGCAGAGAAGGTGTGAAGGGTATGCAGGGTGAGGGGACAGCATGGGCAAAGGTCCTATTGTACTCTCGGTGCAGGATCACCCCAAAGGCAAACCAAGTGTGTGGAACACACACACACACACACACACACACACACACACATACACACACACACACGGTAAAGAAATCAGTATATTTTGAAAATACAGCACTAGTCATCATGGAAAAATCAGAATCTTGTTAGACTTCACACTTCTTTTATGTTTATTTGTTTAAATTTTGAATCTCTATAATATACTGCCCCCACGCCCTCCTCCCCACTAGAATATCAGCTCCATAAGGGAAGTGTCTTGATCCTGGCTCTATTCCCAGTGCCTAGAACAGGGCCGGGCATGTGGTAGGTATGCAGTAAACACGTGGGATGAATGAACGACCTCAGTGCTTAAGAGCTCAGAAGCTCCTGCTTGGGAGACCCTCTTAGTTGGGAGGCTGAGGCTGGGAGATGGGCCAGCATCCCACTGGCTTCAGGACCAGTTACTGCCCTCGTGGGCCAGTGCTGGAAGGGGAGGCCAGTCTGCAGGGGGGTGGCCAGGAGGCTGGGGGGCACCTGATGGCTGATGCCCCACGCTGCTTATCTTCACAGGCTCNGGCCAGGTGAGAGAGGGTGACTGGGGAAGGGCTGCTTTAAGGTGAGCGGTCAGGAAAAGCTTCTCTGAGAAAGTGCCACCTGAGCAGAGACCTATATGGCAGGAAGAAGCTGGCTACACGATGCTCCAAGAAAAGGATGGTCCAGTCAGGGGAACAGCAGATGCAAAGGCTCTGAGGTGGGGAGACTGTGGAGTGTTCTGGGCACAGCCAGGAAGCCAGTGTGGATGGACGGTGAAGGGCAAGGAGGAGGCGAGGTCAGAGAGGTGGGCAGTGGCTCGACTGCGGAGGGCTATGGAGACAGCATGGACTGTATTCTGGGTGGAATGGGGAACCATTGGAGGGTTTTTAGCACCACAGCGACTGTGGTCTGATTCATGATTTTCAAAGATCTCTTTGGCCACCATGTGGAAATAGTGAAGGTGTGGACAGAAATTGCAGGGCCCGGTCCCAGAAGGCAAAGGCTCCCAAAAGAACCTTCCAGCTCTGTAGGATGCTGCCTGGAACCTACTGCTGTATGCTATAGAAAGTCCACAGGGATGTCTGAACAGGAGAGTGACACATCCTGGGTTCTGGAATGATCACTCCGCAAATGAGAAGCCAGCTCAAGTGGTGGGGAGGATGTGTGGGGAGAGGAAGGGTGCTGAGGATGGATTCTGTTCCCTGCCCCCCGCCAGCTGCCTCCAGAGGCTTAGCCCAGGTGGGAAGGCGAAGGGGACATATGTGGAATGCTGGGTTTCAGGCCCTGGAAGTTTCTGACATTATCCCTGATGAACAGTTGGGCACAATGAAGGGCAAGAGCGTGATGCGCTCGGGCATGATGAAGATGGATTGGAGCGCATAGGTGACAAGTCCCTTGTTACAGACCCTGCCGGTGGGCTCTCAGGTGTTCTCCGTGCTGGCCAAGGACAAAGACACAGGGTCTGCAGGTGTGGTGAAATACTTCATAGAGGAGGTGAGCCCACTTCCCCTCAGGGCCACCAGGGGGCAGCACGTCCCTGCATGGACCTTGAGCGCTGGGTGAGGAAGGTGGCTGTGTCCCCAAGCCTTCTGCTGGCCCCCTAGGACCTCATTTGTCCCAGCAGTCTAGGGAGGGTACCTGCTTCAAACAGGACCCTTCTTCCCACCCTCTTGCCCGGGGCAGTCTGGGCCTTTACCAAATCTGTGTCACATCACCTGGTAGTGGAAACTGAGGCTCAGAAATGGAGGCTCAGAGAGGTTAAGTGACCTGACGAGGGTCGCAAGGCTGGTCAGTGGCAGGGCCAGGATTCAACCCCAGCTCTCAAAGCAGGTGTTGGGGCCGGGCTGTGGGGGAGCCCGGCCTGACTGCTCTGCCTCAGGTCATCCCTAGCACCGGGGACAGCAAGGACCTCTTCAGGATCCTGCCCAACGGCTCCATCATTCTCAATGGCAACCTCAGCTACAACAATAAGAGTGCCTTCTACCAGCTGGAGCTGAAGGCCTGTGTGAGTGGAGGTGCAGGCACGGGTACAGGCGGGGGCGGGGTGAGGGCTGCTGCCCGGTCTCACTGAGGCCCGTCTCCCCCAGGACTCAGGCGGCTGGTACAACAACAGCTTCATCACCCAGTGCTCCTCACCTGTCTTCCTGTCCATCTCTGTGGTTGACCAGCCAGACCTGGACCCTCAGTTTGTCAGAGAGTTATACTCGGCCTCTGTGGCTGAGGACGCTCCCCAGGTGTGCCAGGGATGGGGGCG